TTGGCAAAACTACCAAAGTTAAAAAAATTTATATATATAACTTTTTAATTTTTTTTAAGCAAAGTTTCTTATTACACACCTGTTATAGTTACTGTTGTGTTACGTTTAGTAGAAAATCAAAATTTTCCGGATTCTACGTATCATTTTCCCAACAAGTGAGCCCGCATTAGGTTAGGGTTAACGTTAGTTCCGGTCGGGATTTTGTTTGTCAGGAAAATGATAGAGACCCGTTTTTTCTTTGGATCCCTTAATTTTGAGCAAAAAAAACACATGCGACTTTATTATTATTCCAGCTTCGGATTTTAGGAAATATTTAATTTAATTCCTATACTCCAAGTATAATAAAGAAGATGTATTTTATTCCATAAAACATCAACGAAGAAACAATAATTTCATCTTTATCATAGTTTGCATATCGATATTATTACCAATTGAGGGTGGCGAGATTTTAAGTTGGTGTGTCACGTGATACGGCGTTTCGCATACGAATCAACCTTTTTTAAGGCAAAGAAATAGGCATTGAAGCCGCTTGCGCCGGCTTAAGTGAAATATTATCAAAATTTAATATCATACTCAAGCTACCTGCTTTAATCGGTGTCGGAGGCAATGACGTAGAAGATTCTTTGGAAGAAGTGCCCATAAGAGACTCAGGGTCAAGAGAGTTAAGGTCCTCACAAAGAGATTCGCAACTTGATGACAAAGATGACAAATTTGAAGTAAATAATGAAGAGGTAAGATCACAAACGACTTTTTGCGTGACCTTCTTGTTAGTGGTTGTAGTCTGCTTTTTAGTTGATACGGCTCTTGTTCGACTCCTTGTTCCAGTTTCCATGATGTCAACACCGTGTTTTTTATTGCTTTTATTTTCATATCCCAAAATCGGCGTGGTTATTTCGTCTTCAACATTAGAATTTGTCTTTATTCTTTTTCTTGTCTTAGTTTCTCCGTTCGATACTGTTTTCTTCCTTGTCGTCCTACGAGTTGGTTCATGATTTTCCGTCTTTTCTTCACTCAAACCTTTATTCTTACCGGCCTTTGTACTAGCTTTTCTTTGTCTTTGTCTTACAGGTTTCTTAACTTCTTCGTCTTGCATAAAAGAATTGCTTGTTTCTATATCAATAATTGTGTTGGCATCTTTAGTGATAACAGTTCCATCACTTATATTTATTGGTGTCATTAATGCATAAAATTTTGGTATCGGGCGTAACTCGCGTTCCAAATGTGTTAAAAAACCTTTTGAATCTCGAATAACAAATCTTTCAAGAAACAGGTTATCATTTAAAGGAGAATATCTATTATCTATTTCTTTGGATTTATCAATCGACAATACAGATGACCGCATAGAGCTGTCAATCAAATCTGGAAACCAAATAATCCTGCTTTCCTTGTGGCACTGGAGAATTATTTCAGGTTGTCCTTCCATTACAATATCGTCTTCAGTGCCAGTTTGAACGATAAGATAGTTTGGGTCCAAGAAAAATACAATTTTAGGAAAGAGTTTGGTGGCGACAGAAAATAAACAATCTGCAATTATATAAAGATTATTCAATGGCTTAGCTTACGCGGGCAAATATCATTGTTTCCACATGATATCTGATATTTATAATGCAATTGAGTATATCTGATAACAATAATGTTTATCTGGTATATAACACTTCTATCTAATACGTATCTGATGACAATAATGCATTTAATATGTGCTTAATTAATATAAAAGAATATTTACAGATTAGAACATACAAAAAATATATAAATCTTGTTTTTATAAACATTAAAAATTTTAAATAAGTCTAGTTGAAAAGAAAAAGTTATTGGATTATCATTATATACGTACGTAAAATGTGCTAAGGATTTTTTACTAAATTAGGGGGTCGTCTAAAGCCAGGTGTGTTCACGTGACCAACAGCCAATCAAATAATAAATTTTGATTTACCCGG